ACACTGAGGGTTGCGGTCCATTGCTGGACACGAAAAAAGACAAAAAGGAAAAAAAAAAAAACGTTAGTGCCTTTATCCATTCCTCTTAATCTTCTGTGACCAGCCTAGAAAAGACCTCTGATGGCATTTCAACACAGAGCTGCAAAGCCACTCTGGCTGGCTTGTTGATTCTACTGAATGTGGAAGCGAGTGCATGCGTATTTCATGCTCTGTGGTATCTGACACAGGAAATATCATCGGCAGTCTGTGCCAGTTGGAAGTTAGCATGTGAGACAAAACCTATTTATATGAGACACGAATACCAAAGGATGTTAAAAGGTATCCAAAAAAGGATTCCATGGTCAGACAGTGCTGTGCAAAACAAAGTTCTGTATGTCAAAGAGGACTTGCTGACTTTTGTTTTTGGTTTGTTAGCTCATAGGAGATCAAAGGTTATGTCCAAATAATCTTCACAAAAGCAACTCTTCTCATGGCTCTTAAATGTGTTAGGAATCTGAAATCCCATCTCACCGTTTCTTAAAGTGTGTTCTGCTTATCCCTTGACTGTACTCTGGTAGGGAGAGGGAGGAACTCGTAATTTTCTAGGCAAGAAAGTCTGGGGAATGTGGCATAACATAGTCTTCTCTTCGAGAGTCACAAATACATAACCATTAAAGGCTTTAGGACACCCTTCAATAAAGCAAAATATATAACTTTAATTTGTAACTTTAAAATATGTTTGGCTATGAATTTCTTTTTTTTTAATAGCCCTCAGAACTTGTCTTCAGGGCTGGCCAGTCAGCTCAATAGGTTAGAGCACATCCTTATAACACCCGGGTCACAGGTACGGATTCCAGTACTGGCCAGCTGCCAATAAAAACCCAAACTAGTCTTCAATAAAGGTATCACAGGTAGATTCACATTCTGTTTCCCAGTTGGTAGAGGGTACCAGTAGTGCTGAGTGAGAAAGATTCTGAAGTCTTGTCGGACTCAGCTGGAAAAAGTTCAGCGATTGGCCAGCCATGGGAGGTGGGCATGGGGCTGGAGTCAGTGGGCACAGTGTTGTCATGTCCTTGCCATCCCTGGTTCCTGGGAACATAGTGTGGAGCATGCTGTCCTAGCAATTAAAGTCCAGGACCACATAGGCTCTGTGATTATGTGGGTTATTTTCATTGCCAGCATTAAAAGAATGCACATGATTAACTTGCATGCACCTTATAAATAATCAGGTGGTTTCAGAGACAAAACTGACCTTATAATAAAACTTCAGTTTAAACAGAATCCTGTGAAAATTGAATGTATTGTCTTTTTGGTTAATGTAAGGTTTATCACAGACTGTCCTTTAATCTTTGTTAAAATTTATATTTTTCTAAAATGTGCCAGTCTACCTTCCTCCTTTAACAGT